CTGTTCCCAGTGTGTGCATGTGCAGAGTGCCCAGACGAAGGGAAGAGCTAAAGAACAGGGGTTGACTTGGGAGTGAGGCCACAGGTGGACAGTGAGTGGCCCCTCCCAGAGGAAATAAAAGAGGAGCGAAAGGGGAGTGGAGTTTGCAGGAGAGAATTAGTTTGCTTCACTGGTTCCTGACTCAGAGGCTCCTGGCCAAGTTCTGCAGATCTCGGCCTGGCCGCTCTCCAAGCCAGAGAAGGTCTGTGACCGTAAATCCTCCCTCAAAAGACTTTCCTGGGGGTGAATGAGCAGAATCCACAGTCAATTAAGAAAAGGGGTTTTTTGTCGGGACCAGGAGTCGGCTTCAGGCTCTTGGGAGGCCTCGGTCAGAAACTCTGGTTGTGAAGTGAATCTCGCTTCCTCTTTGACTTTGTTGGTCAGAAGGTCACAAAAAGGGATCACGTGACACACACACACACACACACACACACACACACGGGACGTTGCAACCATCATAAATATGAGTCAGTCGCAAAACAGCTTAATTTTGATCACGTGGCCATGAAGATACTGCAATGGTTGTGATGCCTCAATGTGTCTCTTGACGTTCAGTTGTGCATTTTTGTCTTCCAGGGCTGATGTTTTTAAGATCCATTGGCTGATGGCTTTGCTTCCTTTCACCAAGTCCCTTTCTCTAGTCTTCCACGCGGTAGGTTACCTCTGGATTCACTTGTTTCTGTGCCACAGGGAGGAAGAACCATAGGGCTGGAAGGGGCCTCGGAGGTCCTCTAGTCCAACCCTCCGAAGCATTTGCCTGTTACAGAGTTTAAGGCAATTCGGAAGCTAGACAAAGATAGGGCTTGACTTGCAAAGGGCTCTTTCCTCTCTTCCATCCCTGCCAATCAGCCAGAGTGACTTCCAGGAATTGGCGTAAAACATCTGCAGATTACTTGGCTGTCTCTCCTCCTTTCGTTTCACTTGCTTTATTTAGCAGCAACACATTTTCACGTTTTCCACTAGAACGTGGATTCTCCAGACTTCCATTCCCGTAGATAATGGGTGGAAGAAACAACATTTTATTTTGGAATTCCCCCCCTCTCCCCCAAGCTGATCGAAATTTAATTAAACAGTCTGAAGTGGCAACATCACTTGTATAATTATTTACCATTTTTATATCCTTTGGCCAGTTGACAAAAAATGACACTTAATGGCATTCTTTTGGATTTAACTAACAGCCCCTTTTTACCAATTTGTCAACCAAAATGAAGCTCTCTTTTATATTGGATTTCATTTAGATGATGTTGTTTTGTTTCTTCTTATTTTAGAATTTTACTAGAAGGGAAGGCTGTTGTAAGGAAGCTTAACAGGGTGACTTAAAAAGCTTAGTGGCTGAATAACAACCTTGGCTCTAACTTCTGCCTTTTTCCTTTCTCCCCAGATCGATTACCACTATATCTCCACGCAGGGCTACCCCATCGAGGGCTGGGCTGTCGTCTATTATATCACACACCTGTAAGTCTCTATAGAGCCTGGTTGCAGATTTAAACCAATCTAGTGTGGGTATCTAGTCAGATGCTGAGCTTGTCAATCAGAGAGGTCGGCTGGTCGGTGGTTCAAATCTCAAGCGCCGTGTAACAGAGGGAGCTCCCGTGACTTGTCCCAGCTTCTGCCAACCTAGCAGTTTGAAAGCACATTAAAAATGCAAGTAGGAAAATAGGAACCACCTTTGGTGGGAAGGGAAGAGCGTTCCATGCGCCTTTGGCATTGAGTCATGCCGGCCACATGACCACGGAGACGTCTTCGGACAGCGCTGGCTCTTCGGCTTTGAAGCGGAGATGAGCACCACTGCCCCCTAGAGTCGGGAACGACTAGCACAGATGTGCGAGGGGAACCTTGACCTTTACCTTAGTATGAGGTAGTGGCAACTGTGACATCTTAAAAATGGCATGTTGCAGTTTCAAAATGGTTTCTTTTTACACGAGATTGTAGCATGAAGATTGCCAAAATCTTATGAGGTTGTAATCAATTGGAAAGGCAGCCTTGTGGACCTCTGTTGTGAAGTTGTTAGATTTGTAACTGTCATTTGATTGGCATTTCTGCTCTTGGTTCTTTCACAACAATCCTTGAAGGTAGGCTGAGCCAAGAGAGAAAAAAGAACTGTTCCAGAGTCACCCAGGAAGCGCCTGTGTCATATGTTGGACTTGATTTATTTATTTGTTGAATTTATATTGCCACCTGTTTGCCCTCAAGGTGATTCAAGGCGGATTGCAGAATATAAAACCACATTTATCACAATAAAACTAATAATAACTAATCAAATAAATTAACATAGTATAATGTATAATCATTTTAGCCCAAAATGGGACTCTCTTATAAACGTTTAAACCAGGACTTCCAAAGCTCAAGTTGCACCGCATTGAGCCACCGTTCCGGCCCCAGAATAGTACCTGATTCCTTAAAAGTATTTTTATTATTATTATTTTGCATTTGAGTCACATGCTCCACTTTTAAGAGAGGATTGTTGCTGGAATGTTATCTGTTTTCACTTGAGGGCTTTTTGGAATCGACAGATGCATCAATCAACCTGTCGCCATTTGTGTCTGTGTGTGTGTGTGGTTTTTTTTCCAATCAGGTTAAAAGGCGCCCTGCTGTTCATCACCATTGCTCTCATTGGTACGGGCTGGGCTTTTATTAAGCACATCCTCTCCGATAAGGACAAGAAGATATTCATGATCGTCATCCCGTTGCAGGTGAGGCGGGCCAGGAGGTTCTTGGCTGGGTTCGTTGTAAGCAGCGTCCCGATTTGTGCAATGTTTTAGTTGCGTGGAGTGGGGGCACCTTCTGCAACTCACGATTACGCAACATGCAGCCTCCTTCTCCCGAGACCCCGTGTCTGGGAAGGCAGAAAATATAGGGGGGCCCTTGACTTAACAACCGCCACTGAGCCTGAAATTTCCCTCGCTCAGCAAGACTGTTAAGTGAGTTTTGCTACATTTCTACCTCCTCTCTTGCCACCTTTGTTAAGCAAATTGCTGTGGTGCTGTGGTTTTGTTAGGGACACGGCCAGTGGTGGGATTCAAATAATTTAACAACTAGTTCTCTGCCCTAATAACCGGCTGGGTGGGTGTGGCCATGGCCAGTGGTGGGACAGGCAGCACTCAGCCTCTTGCTCTTACCTGGGAGCCAAAACACGGCGTGTGGGGACTCCTGGAAGGGGTGTGGGAGGAAGGGGCAGGGCCAGCCAGAAATTCAACACCCGGTTTGCCCCAAACCGGCTGAATCCCACTACTGAACACGGCTGTTAAGTGAACCCAGCTTCCGGCAGAGTTGCCAGGGGAAGCCAAATTCTCTCCGCGACCGTATTCATTTGCTTAGCGACTGTAGCGATTGGCTAACAGCAACCACTGCAAAAAAGGTTTTTTTTTAAAGGTCATAAAATCAGGCACAATTCGTTTTAACGACTGAATCCCTTAGCGATGGAAGTTCCAGTCCCAATTATGGTTATAAATCCGTAAGGGTGTGTGGGTGCGTTAGACAAAGTGTACCTATGGAGGATTTTGTCCGGGGAGAAGCGTTGGGATGAAGTGATTTCAACTCCCCTGTATCAAACAGTCCTTAGACTTATCCAATGTTGCGTCCGGCCTTTTGTCTACAATCAAGCAGAAATTTGCCGCTGGTCAGATTCGCACCGTTTCCCCTTTCCCAGGTCTTGGCAAACGTGGCCTTCATCATCATGGAATCCACCGAGGAAGGCACGACAGAATACGGGCTGTGGCAAGAGATCCTGTTCTTGGTAGATCTCCTCTGCTGCGGGGCCATCCTGTTCCCCGTCGTATGGTGAGTTTGTGGGAATGGAGGCCGTCGGTTGGGGAAGAGCAACGCCCCCCCCCCCCCAAAAAAAAAACCCTTTGTGAACAAGATATTGTTCTGACCCAAAAAGCAGGAGGCAGAGTCCTGGTCCCACAAAACCCCTTTTGTTAAACGAATGTGAATTCCTCTCATTCACCTTCCGCCAAGGCCTGGCAAACAGTCCTTCAAAGGTGAATTTAGGACCACAGACCTTATCTATCTTGGAAAGCTGCCATGAAAATATTTTCCAAATGAGGAGCTGTGCAAGGAAAGGCTGGGCACAGAGTCTCTGAGATTCACGGACAGATCTTCACACTCCTGAAACAAATGAACGAACAGTTTCCTGCAAAAGCCCCCTCCCCTTTCACTCCTCTTTTGTTTCCTCTGGGAGGGGCCATTCATTGTCCACCTGTGGCTTTACTCCCAAGCCGACCCTGATTTCTGAACTGTACTTT